GATTAAAAAATCCCGCCCTCCCTACGATCCATGAGCCTTCACGTCATGAACATAGAGTGATCTCCCTTCCTCTTATCTTTATGGTTACCGGAGCGGGCGGACGTGCCTTCCCTTTTTGTAGCATTAAGTTCTGCTTGTAGCCGAGTAATTCTTTACTCGGCTTTTGCTTTATACCCATCAATTACAGTAATAGTCTATTGCAGACTATTATTTCGTTAGTTATCCTGCTTATTTCGGCCTTATTCGGCCGGCTTTTGTTCGGCCTTTGTTCGGCCATTGTTTGCTCCACGTACCGAGCGCGTGTCCATATGTTTTGCGCCGTTCGGTTTTTGTGAAGACTTTTGCTATTTTTTTCGGTCGTATTTCATTATTCGACCGCTTTTTTGTTTATTCATTTTACGTTTCGTTAGCTTTTGCTTACGTTCGTGCTTGAATTTTGGAGTTGTGTTTTTTTCTCCATTTTTTTGTTGCGCTTATTTGTTTAATAACATTTGTTATTTTTAACAATTATGACTAGTTCGGGGTTGCGTCGTGGTTCGGCACATGGGTGTTTCCATTTCTTTGGAGAGCAGGACCCCAATGATGCCTGTCCCTTATGTCGTCCTTGCAGCGAGACTGCGCCGTGCGAACTTTGTTCGCACGCCGGGTCCGCTGTAAAGGTTCCCCTGCCCGTTCGGCGAACTTCTCGCCGGAAGAGGGATTCGTCCTCATCTTCCGGTAAGAGGTGTAAGCCAGCCAGGTCTTCTACCTCCGGTCCTGAACCGTTGGGTGAGTTTGTTACTGCTGGTGGTGTTCTCGTTTCTCCGAGCTCCGCCCTCGAGCAGGGGTTGGCTCTCCCTGTTCCGGCGATGCTACTGTCGGAAAGGGACTTCCGGTCGCAGGTCTCTGATTCTTTCAGGGACCTCGGCGCGCCAGATGGCGTCGTTGGTGGGGGCCATTTTGACTCCGGGCCTGTACCTTCGGGTATAGGGTGGTTAGGGGCCACTGACCTTTTGTCAGGATTGTCGGTGGCTACGGGGATTAGTGACACTGAGTTCACTAATCTTAGTGTCAGTGCGGGGCCTGGTTTCCCACCCTCACAGGTCCCTGGCTCTGGGGCTTTTCGCTCAAGTCCAGACTTTCCTGTGCAGGGTTTCCCAGGGGGTTTCCTCCAGGGGTTTGGGGCTCCAGGTCAGGCTTCCGGTTTTCGGTCGCCTTTTCCCCCGGGCTCGGGGTGCCGGGGTGCCTGCGGGCACTTATTGCTGTGCCGCCCAGGCCAACCTTTGGATGGTTATGGGTACCAGGCCGGGTTTCCACCTGGTGGGAGTGGCGGTTCATCCTGGTCCTTTGGACAGGGTGTCCAGCCCCAGGCTCAGGCAGGTCAATTTGGCCAGTTCTGGGGTCACTCCCAGCCCGCGGGACCGTTCCCATTCCCTCAGGGGTTTCGGTTCAACCCCATGGGTCTTCCCTCCTTTAACCTTTGGGGTATGGTCTCTCCATCTAGGAGACGATATAGCAGTTCTGAATCCCCCCAACGTTCTGCTACTTCGTGGGGCCGTATGGGCCGGTCCTGAAAAGGTTCGCCGGACCTTTAGGACTTCCGCTTCCCGCGCGGACCCGTCGGTCTCCTGCTCCCAGGGGTCGGTTTCGGGTCTCCGGGCAACTGGCCCCTCAACCAGCACAGCTGGAGTCGAGAGAGCTGGCTGCCTGGCCCGGCAAATCGGTGGACCAGGTGGTGCTTGATGCCAGAGAGCACCACAAGATGGAGAGGATGTTGCGCCTTTCCATCCAAGTTCTGTCATATATAGACTTCCTGACAGTGAGTCTATACAGGGTATCCGACTTGCCTGAGGGTCGGGTACCAGAGACAGAGCAGGCCGACATTCAGGACAGACTCACAGCTGCCCTGAACGCGGCGTTTCGCTTGCTGACTGCCCCCTTCTCTGGCTCTACCCTGTTTGGGGGAGCACTTCCTTCTGTTCAGAAGGATATGAAGGAGGACTCAGTCGCTTCAGCACTTCTGGTGAAGAGGTTTCAGTCTGATAAGGCCAGCGCCTCGCAGAGGTCAGCGCCTCCCAAGAAGAGGGCTGAGTTTTCGGCTGCGCAGTCTTTTGCGCAACCCAAATCACAGCCACGCTTCAAGGGCAACAAGGGGAAGGGTCGGAGCTTAGATTACAAATAACATTTACACAGTGTACCATCACACAGCACTCAATCTTATACTTTTTTTCTTTTTCTGAGATAAACATTCAATTATACCCTGGAATAGCTAATGGTCACTCACGGCTTCTATACTGTTTCAATCACGCGCACGTCCTCAGCTGTTTACGACGTTAGATATTTTTTATAAACTATACTAAATGAAATATTACATATACAACTACTCGAAAAGGATAATAACAGCAAAATACAAAACATCCCTAAAGAAGCACAATACACATTAACAACACTGATCCACATGACTGAACCGCATGATCGCCTAATTGTTTATCTACAATATTAATTAAGAATGGAAGAAAATAGCAAAATCGTAAAGTTAAAATTACTCGCCACAGTCTGATTTGTGCCTGAATAACCATGCAGTCTTCGTAGAAAGCAATTACACAGTGAAATTGATCAATTAAACTCAAAGAAGAAATTCCGAGCGTCTGACCTGAATTCGCTCACCTGGTCACTTCCACCCTTACGGTAGGTAAAGGTTAACATAAACGTAGACAAAAAAATACATACGAATGTGACCTGAACGTTATAGCAAGAAATTCGCCATAAGCGTGATTATTATAAACGTGACATACTGTATGTTCACGTTAAAAACGAAATTTAAGTTGAAAAGGAGGAAACAGCTGTATAATACACTTTGATTCATCGATGGGTTCTGCTGTATCTTTTTCTAGATTAAATCTAAAAGGTGCTCTTCATTTATGTGTCTTTTGTTTCTTTTTACATTATTTGACTTCATCTCAATATAATTATTTCATTGAAATATATTCAAAACAAAGTCAGAGACTACTTTCTACCAAGCTGTGTAATATGGGTGATGATTTCAATTCCTTCTTGTTAATTTTCCATTTCTGGATATCAACATCCCGTCAGCATAATCATTTGATGTGTATAGGTTGCAGTTGATATCCAAGACTCTCTTCCCGTTATAACGATTTTTGTACAAGACATCGTCACCTGACGAACTAACTCGTAACACAAGGAGTCTAAAGGTAAAGATACAGCTTGGTGAAAATGATTGGGAAGTTTTACGGTCGTTATAGTGAAAAATATTATATTTCTTTGTGCGATATGAGTTTGAATAGGTTTGATATATATATATTCTTTGACCTCATCTCAATATAATTATATATATATATATATATATATATATATATATATACATGTAGATATATCAAATATATTTTAAACAAAAGTTGAATATTAAGTGTGATGATTTCAATTTATTCCACTTCCCTTCATCATAATCCTTAGTGGTAACATGTTGCAGCTGATTCGATATTCAAGACCCTCTTCCCGTCATCATTTTGATGAAAATGATGGGGAAGATTAACGGTCGTTATAGTGATGTCATTGAAAGACATTCTATTTCTTTGTGCAAAATGAATTTTGATCGGTTTGATATTTGTTAGTTTGTCCATTGTTTTAGTTGTTGTTGACCATGTTCTCATTACTTACTTGTGTTGACCAAGATATATAAGGCTAGTATTGGTCATGAAGTAGAAGTCGCTTACTCCTCCAGAAATCCTGGTCTTATTCTCTTTGTACTTTTTCAGGAGTTCCCGTGTAATTCTTTCTTTTGTTCGTTTTTAGTTTTACTATTTGTTGAATTTGAGTTTGGAATATAATTATGTTGACATGTCGGTATATCTTGTTGTTTTTCTCCAGTGATTTCTATAATTTGAAAATGGTAAACAACAAACAAAGCTTATTAATTGGACTTTAATCATACCCAAAATAATCTTCCTACCTGATACAACTATAACGAAATCGGATCGTAACTTCATGATATAGCCATTACACAAAGAACGAAATATTATTTGACAAAGAGCCAAACAATGATATAGGAGCAGAATTTACAGATATTGTACGTAATAGCTTAGGAAAAGATGACAGATAAGGTCAGTTTACTTCTAAATTAAAGTAAACCAGAGACATCTGAAATTTTGTGACTGCAAACATTTACCCTACAATTGATCTTAGAGAGGTCGGTACTACACAGGAAAATGTCTAAGCATTCAAACGCAACATTTTCGCGTCATATTTCATCATTTTCTTGATTGGTAGTCATACGACAATGTCACCACTGATAATAACGTCGCTCCATTTTATCCCAAACCATCCCGTTTGCAGGCCAATTGCTCAACACAGCAAGCCAAGGTAGAATAATGAAGCTCAGCTACTGAAGATTTGCCCCAACGAATAGTATCGGGTCGTGCTTTGTCCTCTTGGCTATTACAGATAAATCTGTTCATGTAGCCATAAAATATAACCGTAGCCGCCAGAAATGAAAGTTTCTCATTTTAAATTTACTTTGTTGTGTAATCGTGTAGCTAGTCCAGTGTTCGGTCAATTTCCTAGACTAATGGTCTTTTTCTCAGCTGCCAGCAGACATAGATTGGACTCCCAAGAGTGCAGATGTGTTTACGACACTCTGTTTTTATTGGATTTGTTTCCTCCCCATGAACATGTACTTATGATCATTCTAATCATGCAGAATATCACGTTAACACGTTTTAATTGTATCTGTATCCACGTGTCCTAGTCGTATTTGAAGTTGAAGTGAACCGAGTTCCACTACGCATGCCCTAAATCTAAAGGTGACAATATATGTAAGCTTCCCTATCTTGTTCATCAATCTGGCAACCTGCACCTTTCGAGTACTTGTGTTTTGGGGCGGCATATTGTGGTTAAATTCAGTTGAAATTTAAGACACTAACACTGGTGATATTTTTTTTTCTAAAGTGTCCGCATAATCAACGAATATTTTGTTTACCAGTGTCTTTTTTTTCGAAAAGAAAATGGCAGACAACAAAAAACAGAAATTGATAACAGGGCTTACATCTCATCCCAAGTATATTTCTGCCTGGTATAACTACGATGATGTCGGATCTAAACTTCAACATGAAAGTGGTGAGATAAACCGGGATTTCTATCTTACGAGGAGTCAGATATCTTTCTTGGAGTTAAATGTGCATGTACGCGTTATATAACATATCACACAATGTGTAGGCCATTTTCGTGGATATTTGATGTTTCAGTCATATATACAGAAATAAATAGATATATGAAATGACGATAAAGTAAACTTAAAGATACGTTTGTGTTGGTAGAGCTTGAAAGTGATATACGAATAAGAAAAGGATAATAATTTATGGTTCTGGTACAGTTAAACAAAAGAAACGAAAATGATTTGCTACTAAAGAGAACATCGAAAGATAAATACGCTATTCAGTCTTTTCAATCATTCTTCCCACAGAAAATATAGAAGCGTTGTTCATTTAAAATTGATAACCAGTTTTCGGAACAATTTCTCTTGCATCACAGGATATCATCCCGAGGGATTCAAATGACTTGACCTTGGTTGACCTCGGAAGCGGGAACTGCTCCACAACGAGATTTGTAATAGATGAGCTAATAAAAAGGCAGAAAATGGTCCAGTTTTACTCACTGGACATCTCTGGTGGTAGGTTTAAACATCGTGATAAATGAGAGTATACTGCTGTAGTTCATTGTTGCTTTACTTTCCAGGCGGGTCAACAAATCAAATGAAATATTTTGAATTCCTAACGATATTTTTTTCAGATTTCCTGATGAAAGCTTCAGCGATGTTGTCAGAGGTATACGATAATTCACTTGTTATTCGATCAATAGCTGCTGATTACGAACAAGGAATTAAACATCAGAACTAGTTTTGGTGGATTTCATTACGTTCTTGATTCCATGCCGTGGAAACTCTATAGACTATATCATGGAAAAAAATGACCCACAGTTCTGGATTGACATACACAAGCAGACCCTTATTTCCTCAAATTGGTCAGTCCAACAAAAAATATAAAAAAAATACCAACATGGCAACAAGATCATAATTCAAACTCAAAATCCATAAAACTAAAAATGTGAACAAAAGAAACATGTACACGAAGACTCCTAAAAATACAAAGATAATATGACCAGGTGTTCCGAAAGAGTAAGTGTTCTCTGATTCATCCGATATCTAAACCTTGGTCAATCAAGTAAGTAATGTCATGTTCTTAAAGGAAAACAAGGTATACTACAACGAAACTAACAGGCAACCTAACGAGCATCAAATACGTCCAACTTCATATAGCAACAAGAAATCGAATCGTTCTTTACCATGACGACCATAAAACCTCCCCACGTATGTCATCTATCTGAATCTTTAGATCTCTTGTGTTACGAGTTTGACAGTCAGTTGACGACTTCTTGCACAAAAATCTTGATAATTTGAAAAGGCCCATGAATATCGAATCAACATGGGCTGGAGATGCAGGTCTATCGATATCCAGAAATGGAAAATTCCCAATGGGAAAATTGAAATCATCACGTTTATCATTTAATTTGATGGAAAGCTGTCCATGTTGATTTTGTTGTAGGAAAAAATCAAGATAAGTAGCAGATGTAGAAGAGTCTGTCGTATCTTTGATTTCCAGTTCTGGTGGATATATACGATGGACGAAGTAATTAAGTTTCTTGTTATTTAAATACAAATGCCATAAACAATTTTGAAGGTGAAATTAAACGATCTTGCAAGGTCATTGAGACTTGTTTTGATCAGCCAGCTCTTCAATAAATTCAGCCTTGTATGAAAACAAAAACAAGACAGCCAAACAAACAGAGGGGCGCAGTTGGTTCCCATAGGTAAGAAGATATTGTCAACTAAAAACTATCATTTTTATGATTTCTTCCTCTGTATGTTTCGTTTTTTATTTGGACGTATTTTTCTTACGAAATACGCTTCAGTATAGTTCACAACCACATATTGATTCCACCGTTCACCCATCTTAGAGAAGAAAGTTGTAACGAGAGGAGAACGAACGTTCCTTCTGTTTAGAAAGGGGTATGGTGGTGTACATGGTGAAAAAAATCAGATGTTCTTATAGAACAAATGTTTTTAGAAGAGAGTGTACTATTATATTCTACTTCTTGAGGAAACAGCATAACAATAAGACCGTGACTCAGATTGGATAGTACCTAGAATGGAAGTTAGTAGTTTTGACAAAGGCTTGGTTGAACAGTTAGAAGAGCCAATAATAAAAAGTAGTTTATATGGATTATTGTGAAATTCAGGGATCCAGTATAAACTTGGGAGGTCCGTTTTATTATCATTAATAGGTATTCTAAATGATTGTGATACAAAACATCTTTTAAAACACTGCATAATGTAGAGGCGGGGTTTCCTTCTTTATCAAGCAAACCCAGTTCTTTTTGTTTGCAGGAAATATAATAATAATTGCAGACAAAGATCAAGTTATTGGACGACGTATCTGCAGGCACAATAACATACCTGTCATGTAAATCTTGAAAAGTTTAAAACAGTATATTTAAAACACAGTTAAACTTTTGTTCAATAATTTAATGTTATTTCGATGCAAGAGAATATCGTTTTGACAGCGAAGGGTTTTTGTCTGACGAAAATTTGTTGCAGGCATGCCAGTGGTGTAAAGTTCATTTTATGGTTTGGTAGCATGATGAACATGTCGTTTGATGACCAAGTGAATACTCACGGGATGATATCTTCGATAATGACAGGTAAGATTTAAGTAAATTTTCATGTCAACAGACGAACAATGTTTCAGTTAGAGTTGCGTAAGTAAATAATAAGTCGCCGTTCATAAAATGTTTTGGAAGAATTGAGTTAGTAATGTCATGTTCTCAGAGGAGAGAAAAAAGATAGGTTGAGAGACTTAATGGTGGTATAGTTTGATGTTAACGCAACAATTACGCTCATTTAGTTTGCGATCGTCGTCACACAAACACGTACGATGTGAAAGTGACTGTCAATGCATGTTTCGGCATGTCACTTACCAGAATCAAAGACTAATCAAAGGGCAAAGAAGTCGGTATGCCACGTCGACGATTATCATGGACACTAGATGTAACCAAAGAATATCAGACATCGGTTGCTGTACTTAATTAAACACAACAAAAATGAATCGTAACTGCGTGTATTTTTGATTTGTGACTTGAATTATGTTGACTCGTGGTGCATTCTTAGTCTGCCACCTGATCTGAAACCGCCCTACCTCTGTAGTCTCTCCATGAAAAGTTGTCCATATTTCTTAACCTCATTACTCGATGGATCGTTTTCAGAATCTATTTGTGTGTTCCCTTTGGTCCCTTGGTGTTTCCGTTTTATTTTCCGACGGATCAGAAAAAACGCTGGCTGACAATAGGCAATCTTGAATTTTTTGGCGTTGAAAGACTTCGCAATATTTCTGTATAACGCCAGATTGATCTTTCGTAAAATTTTATTTGATTGCTGGACTGATTAGAAAATTCAAACTAGTAGCAAAAAATCAGGATAGAAGACAAAAGATTTAGATTTCAAAAGAACAAATAAAGGTCATACGATGATGAACCCAAAGATACTTCTGGGATATCTTGTTAGTATAGTTCTTGTACTTGATATTTCAAAGACACGACTGGAGAAATAAATTGATATTTGTATACAATTTTCATGCGTGTTCTTTCTTTTCCAGATAAATGTCGACTTGTGATCAGTGTTGACATCACACAAGATAAAGAGGCTATACTTAAGGCTTACAATGACGATGCAGGTAAGTCATTTCGACAACACACACTTATCGTAATGGACCTGATATCTTTGGGAATCAACTGGTGGCTGACATTTTTACTGACCACGTTCATCGTATATACCCACTATAATTAGAAATTTAACTCAGATAGAATCTTCTACATCAGTCGCTTATCTCTTTATTTTTCTATTACAAAAAAAAATGGATAGCTTTCAATTAAGCTGTATGATAAGCGTGATGATTTTGATTTCTTATAACCGTTACTCGTCTCAGTTAATTCGATATTCAAAGGCCTTTTCTCAGTATCACGATTTTCCGTGCTAGAAGTTGTCATCTGACGGATAAACGTGTAACACATTATTTTCAAAAGATGCAGGTTGATGAAAACTATGAGGGAATTTTACGGTCATCATATTGATAAGTAATTTACTTCTTTGTGCAATATGATGCTGGACGTGTTTCATTCTCATTTGTTTGCCTGTTGGTTCCGTTGCTGTACATTTTCTCATTCGAGAACGTGCCATTGCTTACTTTGCTTGACCAACGTTTATATGGCTATTGTCGTCGATTAACCAAAAGGCGTTTACTCTTACTCTTCTGGTCCTATTCTCCATATACTTTTTCTGAAGTATCCATGTAAATATTTCTATTTTCCTTATTGAGTTTGTTTGTCGTATGATTATGGCAACCTGTTGGTATCTTCTTTCTTTTTATTATAAGAACAGTCCGGTTTTTATGAGACATAATCTCCTTTTAACGTGTTTGTGGCTACCCACTCAACAAAATGTAGACTTATACCACACCATCTATAGCAATTGACGTAAAATGTCTTGCACGAGGATATTTTACAATACAAACTGTTGAACCACTCAACTTGGTTTTCACCAGAGGTTATATATGTTTTATATGTACTCTTCTGATTTCAAAACACATGTATGCTCTTACAAAGACAGCCATACACTTGAATGATTTAACTAGGACCATGGACTGTTCATCCGGAGCTTTATGCCAAGCAATAGAATATTTTTTATATAGATTTACGTCTGTAAGCTTGCGATCACGATCATTTCAAAGTTATGATCATGGGGTGGGAGTCTTATTACATGTTATGATGTTATGGCCTAGAAGTTAAGCCCTTAGGTATTGGACCAGACCCAAGGGTCAAGTTTTATAACATGATCATCTCGGGTCCCTTGGTTGAACATGCGACTGCATGTCCATACATTGAGGTGGTTGGCGTGTTCTTATATACGCTACGGTAGAATGCTGTATGATTTTGCTTGATTATTTGTATTGAACTAACCATCCTTAACCGGTACTTCACCACCGACATGTTCGTATGAAGTTATCATTTAAATCATGCAATTGTTTTCGATATTGACCTACTCATTCACTCCTTCCACTCAAGAAGCGCGTTCAGTAACGTAACTCAAGGTCGCGTGGAGTACAAAAGAATCTCCAAACACGAAAGAGTTCACATGGTTACCATGCACGGCCAGAATATGCACTGCAAGTTTAATTAATATGGATTTTGATAACTTTCTCACTTGCACAAATTTTAAGGACAAGCAAAAACATTGAGTTTTAGAATGAGCTGCGTTGAACGTTTCTAAGTAACCTTTTGAACAAAGAGCATAAAAGTTCTAATAAAGGAAGATTTTATGAATTAAATGATTAAATTTTCATCTCGTTTCATCTAACTTAGATCACCTGTTTATATCATTACCAAATCCTGATGAATTTTATTTCAAAATTGTATTCAGAATTAGGTAGCTTTCTCTGAAAAAGTACAGTATAAAAAATAAAGGGCGATGTTGTAATTACAAACTGTGTAGGAGGGGGTCTCAAAATGGTGAATCTAATTTTTTTTATTGCCTCATTGAAACTTATATGGGTTCGTAGACTTTTCACCTCGAAAGGTAAATGACAACTACTGTTCAACACTAATGCAGATAGGGATATTTTTGATAATTGTGGTTTTGAATATATTTAGCAACTGTACAACAGAAATGTAAAACTTTATTATGGAAAAACATATTTCAGCCTTGGCAAAATTTATCTATTAAGCAAAATAAGTTGAACTAAAAGTAAATGTGCTAAAACACCCATTTGGTATAACAGAAATTTTAAGTTTTCATCGAATACAACTAACAAAGTTAAGCTTCAGTTACTACTTTGCATAATTATTACTATATATATCAGATACAAACAGAAAGAATTGCAATACTACAATGTTGCCTTTCAGCATTATCATAACTTCGTCAATATATATGTTAAAAGAGTAGTAATGGATATATTCTGTTTAATTCATTGTTTCGCTTTACTTTATCATTCTCACAATTAATGAAAAATGTTATTCACTTGTATGTCTTTTGTACCAAGTGGTAGTCACTGCTGGTGAACTTTTAATTCCTAGAGGTTTGCCGTAGCCTTCTTGCAACGTTTGATTCGTTCGAATAGTGACACGATTCAGAAAATACACATGTACCTGCTGTTCTAAAATTATATATATATAAAAATACGAAATTTAATCAATTATCGGCCTGCTGCACCTCCCCGTCTAGATTTTGACTTTCCTTCCGACCAGTTGAGATTTTCCTCAGTTGCCTCCTCGGCTTCAAATTTTTCGCCCTTAGCATCACTGACGAGTCCTTGAAGGACAAACAGCTGTAGGATGCAGTTTAATTCATTGTTTAGCTCTACTGTATCATACCTTTAATTATGAAAAGGTGATATTCACTTGAGTGTATTTTATTCCAATCTTATTGGAATTAACAAATGAATAAAAACATGTCAATGTATTAATATCAGGCGTTCCCCTTGATCCTCAAAATATGTTAACCTTTATCGTGTGGACAAGTATATACGACACCGGACTGTGCCCATATCTTTATGGATGATAA